CGCCTCAGAGACGACTTTAGAGTCGTCACTTTAGGGCCTCGGCAGCACTGAGCCAGTTGCCTAAAGCGAGTGTTCACAGCAGAAAGCTGTCGCATCAACCCAAGCGACCAACACCAATTCCAGGTAGGAAGACCAAAATGTTGTGGCCTCCGGTATGGTCGCAGTCCCCTTTCGATTGGTAGAAGTCGGTTGACCTCTTTGTCACAACTTGGTCTTGTTGTCATGGCGACTAATTAGAATGCATCTAGTCCGAAGTCGTCTGCATTAGACAGTTGACTTGGTACATTCTCAAACGTTACTTGGTCTTGTTGTTGAGACTGTACCAAGTCGACTGTCTGATGCTGGGAGTCATGACAACCAATATGGCATTCTAATTGGTCGCCATGACAACGAGGTCAACCCAGAGTCTACAAAGAACCAATTGCATTAAAGGTCGCCACTTCGGCTTACATGTCAGAGCCAGGCATTGGAGGATCTCGGCTATCCGGAACTCGCAAGGTTCGTCTGCGTCGATGTCAGGATGGCATTGCTGTAGGCATCTGGTGGTGAACACGTGGTGATGCTTACAACAATTAATCACGCTCGAGTTTGTCTGAGTCTTCAGGCAGTTGAGCATGAAATAAATTTCTTTCTGGCTGCATGAAGACGTGATCTGCTCGTTGTAGACGCAAATGGCGGCTCGGCATTCGTTAGAGATCTCTCTGGTTTCGGCACAACCCTGGCAGATTTGCTTGGTTTCTATGAGATGTTGTTGTGAAAAACAACGTTTATTGAACAGATAAAGCAGGCAATAAGTTTCGTGTCTATAAAAGTAGGATAGCAAATGTTTTTCATTTTAGTTGTATTACAATTTATACGAAAAAAACAGAGCACATCAAATGTTATATGACTTCACATCATATAAGCTTGTTCAACAAACTGTAGAAACCCGGTTTTTTGGTAATTTTACGAATCAGCAGCCACAAAAACATTTGGCTCAAGCGACGGCGGTAGAATCGCTTCAAAAGGGAGCATAATGAGTTAGTTGCATTTCATCTCGTATTTCGTCTGTTTTCTACACATTTTTGATCTCTTCCAAAATCAACTTAGAGCTTCTGACTTATGCTCTATGTTCACCAACTTGGTGATCATCGTGGGCATAAATGCGGCAAACGAAATATTCTATTTAATCGCAAATCCCGATAACATCATCCGCTGAAGGTTGGATTGAATTGCAATTAGCATATTATGACAGTTTAGCCGGAAAAAGTACTTAAAGAGAGGATCATATTCATTGGGACACTTGAGCTCCGCTTTCTCAGACTCGTTTTGGCCTCGATTCCTCTAACGAGAGTCGGTATCATTGGCACTAAAAGGAGAGAGTATCAAACTTGACAGAAATGTGACATTTCATAAAGAATGCCCGATTGTCAACTGTGGGATTTCTTCTATTCATGTCTAGCTGAAATGGACGAAATCCCATTTCATACTGTTAGGCGAGATTGATAGAATAACTGTATCGAACTCGATTTATGATATAATTAAACAGGAAAACCCCGTTTATTAAGTA